TTTATTTTTTTTTAGTTGTAGACAGACACAATAAATATCTGTATTATGTCGTGCTGAGGCTCAAACCCAGGGCCTCACACATGCTAGGGGAGCACTCTACCACTGAGCCACAACCCCAGCCCCTAATGGGAATAATAGGACTGACATTTTTCCAGGTGGTTGTGAGTTGCTGAGCATCTGTTACTATTACCAACGCTAGGTGAAAACAAAATTTCAGCTATGCTTTACAGCCTGCTGCTTGAGTTGATTACTTGATCATGGCCTGCTCTCCAACGTCTTCCCACAAGGTGTAGGAATTAAAAGGACAGACCTCAGAGCACTTTCCACTTGTGTTGTCTGGCTGTAGAACTTCTGATGTTCAGTGCACTTTCTTTCAGTTGTGAACTTTCTTTCTGTGTCACCTTAAGTCTGTCTGTGTTCTGGATATCTTGCTCTTCCAGAGAAGTCCTAGCCATCCCTTGGTATCTGGTACAAATGTGCTGTGGTGGGTAATGGTAACATTTTATAGTTATTCTTGTGCACCTGCATCCATTCCTCCACAACCTCCAGTAGATCTGGGGGAGGATACTGGGGATTGAACTCAGGGGCTCTTTACCACTGAGTTATATTCCCGGCCCTTTTTATTTTGAGTCAGGCTCTCACTGAGTTGCTGAGGCTGACCTTGAAGTTGGCAATCCTTGTGCCTTGGCCTACAAAGTTGCCTGGATTACAGGTGTGCACTGCCATGCCCAGCTAGATTTTGTGTGTGTGTGTTGCTGAGGATTGAACCCAGGACCTTATGCATGCAGGGCAAGCACTTTACCAACTGAGCTATATCCCTAGCCCTAGATTTTTTTTTTTTTTTTTTTTAGAACTGTGAATACCTCTTGGGCATGGTAGCACGCAGGTTGTGATTAAGTGTTGATTAATTTGGGGGGGACAAAGATGCATCTGCTAGGGCATTTTACTCTCCTCAGAACACTTCCTGGGTCTGATTGGTGGCCTGGGGAGCTGTCAGAGAAGAGCAGAGCATACAGCCCTTACTGGTTGGGTGAAAAGGCATCTCTATTCCTATTACTAGGTGGACACAGAATTTCAGCTATGCTCTAAATCTTGCTGCTTGAGTTGATTACTTGATCATGGCCTGCAGTAGGATATAATGTTGGTCTCAAATCAGTGAGGGGACAAACCAGAGATGAGCACTTAATGGTTTTTAACAATAATTGTGAATTTATAATTCTTTAATATCTTCTTTGATTATACACAATAGGTACAAAAATATAGAAATGGAGGGCTGGACTGGAAATCCAACTTCTTCAGTTTCTGGTCTTATTAAATGGTTTATAAGCAAAAGAGGCTCTTAGTAAATAAATATTAATTTATCTTTGGTACTTGGCCTCAAAATACAGAATCTGTGTCTCATATTTTCAGTGTTTGTTTCTGATTGATTGTGGTACTAGGGATTGAATTCAGGGCCTAATGCCTGCTAGGCAAGTGCTGTACCACTGATCTTCATCCCTAGTCCTAATTGTTCCTATTTTTTAAAAAATGAACTCTGGAATATTAAGTAATTTTAGGGACTGAACCCAGGACCTGATATATGCTAGGCCTTAGTGTGTGTAGATGGGTTTTGTTTTTGTACGGGGGATTGAATCCATGGTGCTTAACCACTGTGTAACATACCCCTTTTCTCTTTCTTTCTTTTTTTTTTTAATCATTCTTTTTGAGATAGGGTTTCCCTACATTGTTGAGGCCTAGAACTTGAGAGTCTCCTGAGTCACAGTTTACAGGCATGTGGCAGCCTAAGTGCTGGGGATAGAGCTCATTGGTAGCGCACTTCCCTAGCATGTATGAGGCCCTAGGTTACATCCCTAGTACTGGGGGAAAAAAAACCACACACACACACACACACACACATATATATATATATATATATATATATATATATATATATAATCTCACATATATCACCTACAGTTGAATAGATAGAAGTCATAGGGTAGAGTTTAGTCAGGATTCTGGAATACTTAGTATGTTTAAGGAGTGTGTGCACATGCACACTGGCAGTTGTAGGTTTTCTTTGGGATTATTGGGACTTAAATGAGTTTATATTTGTAAAAGCTGACACATGGTAAGTATATCTTTATTGCTGGGCACATTAGTAAATGACTAATACCAGCAACTCAGGGAGCTGAAAATAAGCCAGGCAGGGTGGTACATGCCTGTAATCCCAATAACTCACAAAGCTAAGACAGGAGGGTGGCGAAATTGAGGCACTGTCTCAAATGAAAAGAACTTGGGATGTAGCTGAGTAGTCAAGTACAAGTACCCCTGTGTTCTATCCTTGAGTTGTTGGAAGCAATTTTTAGATCAAGGTATATATACATTTAAATTTATTTTGGGGAGACACACACACACACTGAGTAGAATATTGCTTGATAAGGGTCCAATAGCTTGGACTTAAGCTATATGTGTGTCCCTGATACTTTTGATTGGGATCTTAATAGTACCCACAGGTTAGGTAAAGTATAGATAGTGCTTAACAAGTTTGTTACTATTTTGTGCCCCCAAAAGAGTACAAATTTAATGTTTCAAGAAAATGCTGGCAGTTTAAAAGGGTGATGGTGTATGTACTGTCTCTTGCCCTTGCTTTTAGGAATTGGAAAGCTGATGATGGGTGGTACCTTCTGCCTTGAGACATACATGGCTTCTGTGCTGGCACTGGGATCTGACAGGTTAATGACTGCTGTTCTTTCTCTCCCTTAGTGCATCCAGCAGTGGTAATTCGACAACGAAAGTCATACCGGAGAAAAGACGGTGTATTTCTTTATTTTGAAGATAATGCAGGGGTCATAGTAAACAATAAAGGCGAGATGAAAGGTAGGAAAACACTCCATCTCATTCCATAGATACCTGAGGGTGGGATGCTGGGGGATTTAACACTGGTCTAGGCATACATGCAAGGGACCCTCTGTCTCACCTGTTTTGTCTTTTTTTTTTTTTTTTCCAATGCAGGTTCTGCCATTACGGGACCAGTTGCAAAGGAGTGTGCAGACTTGTGGCCCAGGATTGCTTCCAATGCTGGCAGCATTGCGTGATTCTCCAGTGTGTTTGTAAAAATAATAATACCCATTAAAAGTGCTTTCTCCCACTGCTTGCTTGCCTGTTTATTTCTTTGCTTTTCTTGTCACCTTGTAAGAAGAAATTGTTAAATTCAAACTCCTGGCATGTGTGAAGATACAGTCCTTGCTCTCTGTGTCCTTGTTGAACTTCTGGTACTTTTCCAGTTGCTGTATTTCCTATTTTGTTTTTGAACCCAGGGACACGACTATCACTGAGCTACATATCCCGCTCTTTTCAGTTTCTACTTTGAGACCAGATACCAAGTTGCCTAGGCTGTCCTTGAACTTGCTATCTTCTTGCCTCAGCCTCCCAAGTCATTTTAGATTATAGGCTGTTGGCATCACACTTGGCTTAATGTCTTTATGGACTACTTGATTGTAGTTGTCCCATGTATGGTTTTATTCAGTTTTTGAGGTGCTGGGGGTTCAAACCCAAGGCCTTAGCACACTAGGAGCCTGATTTGCTTCTGAGCTTCAATACTCCTAACCCACCATATATTCTGCCACCACTACAGATTGAATCCTGTGGTGTTTGTTCTGCAGAGCTAATTACCTGTCCTTTTTTAAGACAGGTCCTTGAGCCAGCCTCAGCAATTTAGTGAAGCCTTAAGCAACTTAGCAAGAGGACCCTCTCAAGGGTGGGATGGTGGCTTTAAGTTTTTGAGGCAGGATCTCCCTAAGTTCCTAAGGCTGGCTTTGAGTTTGACAATCCTCCTGCCTCAGCCTCCTGTGTTGCTGGATTGCAGGCAACACCTTGCCTGTACCACTCTTTCAAAGTGACCTTTTTCTGATGTGAAAAGGGTACAGTGACGCATGCCTGTGATCCCAGCAGTTAAGGAGGCTAAGGAAGTAGGATTGTAGGTTCAATGCCAGCCTCAGAAATGTAGCAGAGCCTTAAGCAATTACTAAGACCCGGTCTTGACAATTTAAAAAAGGCTGGGAATGTGGCTCTGGTTAAGCACCTTGGTACCAGAAACAAAACCCAGTAAATCCTTTTATATCCTATAAGGTGAAAAAAATATGTCAATGTGTCCACATTGTTTTGTCTTTGTATTCGGGATTGAACCCAGAGGGGTGCTTTACTACTGAGCTATACCCCCAAGCTTTTTATTTTTTGAGACTGTCTTCACTAAGTTTCTCAGAGCCTCACTGAATTGCTGAGACTGGATCCTTGGGATTACAGGCATGAACCACCGGCCTATTGCCATTTTAAGAGAATGAATAAGAATAATTGGGGCTGGATTGGGTGGCCCATGCCTATAATCTCAGCAATTCTGAAGGATGAGGCAGGAGGATTGCAAGTTTGAGGCCACCCTTTGCTATTTGGCAAGACCTTGTCTCAAAACAACTGGGGATAGAACCCAGCAGGGAAAAGCAACTCTGGATTAAATTCTCCCTACCAAAAAAAAGTAATTGGGGTGCCAAGTGGATTAGCCAGAGGTCAGGAGACAGGAATTGTGGTCTGGCTATGGATTTGGAAAAGCTTTCTTAGCTTCAATTTGTTCCTCTGTAAAAATGAGAGTTGTAAGTAGATAGATAGCTTTCTGAACACTTCTGGCCAGTTATGGGTACAAGCTTTGCAAGGGACCTCAGCTAGGGAAATAATATGTTAAAGTTTGGGAGCAGAGAACCTACCCTACACTTAAAGCTTGGGGAGCTCCCAAATCCAAGCAATATTCTCCCCACTTAAGTGTCCATCTCTTGCATAATCCATCCTAGGGCTATGCAAGCAACTCTCCCCACTGCTCAAGGACCTACACTGTCAACGCAGGGTGAGGGGGACAATAGGGTTTGTGTCGCAGGGGTAGTCCTTGACACCACGTAACAATGCGCAGGGCAACCCCCATCAAGGGCCCTCATCTCCACCAGAAAGACCCTCAAGAGTCCACGGAGGTTGGGATGGCACACTTTTACGAGTGTCCTCTGCGATTGGAGAAGGGCTTTATTTTGGATGGGGTAGCCGTGAGCACCGTGGCCCGTGCCTATGGCTACACTAGGCCCAAACTCTGGTCGGCTATTCCGCCCTACAACGCACAGCAGGACTACCACACCCGCCGGTACTTTCAGAGCCACGTGGTTCCGCCCATTTTGCGGAAAACTCAACAGGTACGAGGAGTTCTTGGAGGAGCCCTTGATTTCAGCCCGGGCGGCGCACTGACTTTCCAGATTAGCACCTCGGCAAATCAGGGCGTCTTACTGCAGCGCGTTTAGCCCAGAGGCGGCCTCCGCTTCCACCTCTGGGCCTGTGCTAGCCAACTAGTCCTAGAAGTGGACAAGGGGAAGGCAGGTACTGAGCGCGAGCTCGCTGAGCTCACAGGACCTTCTCCTTCCCCTGAGCCGCAGGATGGTCTCATTTCAGGTGTCTGTGACTAGGGGCTAGGCCTTTCAAAGTCTTCCTCTCCTCAGTGAGTCCATTTCACTCTTTTGTGACCCCACAGGCCCATCCTTTAGAGTGACCTCACGTTGCAAATCCTCCCAAACCGCAAAAAACCCTTGTGACTTGTGAGCAAGACAAAGGGAACAATCTTGACCGGTGGGCGAGGAGGGTGTGGTCCTGGGATCACAGTTGCAGGGGTGGGACTCACTCTCCTGACCTTTGCGCAGAAGGAGAGGAACACCTCACCCCCACCCTGTGCATTCTGAGGACTTGGTGCCTCCCCAAGTCTACCGAATCAGCAGTGATTTCCAGGGACAAAAGATTCTTAGGCAGGGGGGCTGATAGTTCCATTTTTTTTTTTTTTTCCCAACACTGTAATTTTGAGGTGGGTGGAGCGGGCTCCTCACTATGTTGCCTGCTGAGCATGTTTAATGTGTAAGGTATTCTTTAATCATCAAAACCACCATTCGTATCCTGGGTGTGGTGACACACACCTGTAATCCTAGTGGCTCTGGAGGCTGAAGCTGGAGGAGGATCACAAGTTCAAAACCAGCTTCAGCAACTGAGAGAGGTCTTAAGTAACTTAGTGAAATCCTGTCTCAAAGACTGAAAGGGCTGGGGATGTACCTTAGCGGTAAATTGCCCCTGGCTTAAATCCCCAGTACCCCAAAATAAGCTAAGAACCCCCACCATTTGTGGTTGGCATTATTTTTATTTAAAAGATAATATGTATCAAGTCTTGTTATGCCAGGCTATTTACTTTAACTAAATAACTTAAATTTCATAGCAACCCTCCTTTTAGTGATAAGAAAATTGAGGGTCCTAATGAAAAAGCTGCGTAATTGACCCAGGGTCACAGCTTGCTAGTGGCCAAGCTAGAGTTGGAATCCAGTGTATGGCAGCACACACTGAGCCCTGCAAGCTGTTGCCCGGCTTATTAACTATATTTAATCTGTCTCCAGTTACCTCTGGCTCTAACCTCTTCCCCAACAAGTCCCAGGGAGTTTGCACTGTGTACTTCTAGACATGGTTTCTGACAGTCTTCTATATTTTCTTCCCCATTTTCAGGATCATGGCGGTACAGGAAGGGATGGCTGGATAGTAGATTATTTCCACATTTTCGGGCAAGGACAGAGATATCTCAACAGAAGAAACTGGGCAGGGGCAGGCAAGTGCCATCTCACTGTCCAGTCTCGCATGATCCCACTAAGGAAGAATAGTATGCACCTCACAATTTAGAGAAAGAAACCAGGCTGCAGGGAGGCCCAGGAATTGCATCCTCCCAGGTTTTCTTCTCCTATGTGAGCACTTCCTCTATACCAGGTGCCTTTTTCCCTCATACTATCCCCAGGTTACTGCTGGGGAAACAGGTATGTTGCATGAAAATGATTTGCTGAGAAGGGCTGAACTGGATTTGAACTTCCTCTCTGTCCACCCAAATGCCCAGGTTCCCCAGATGACCCCCTGAGCAGACTGTGTGTCATTTTACAGGCTTAATTTAGCAGCAATGGGAAGACTAAGAGATTTTTCTGGCAGTGTGCACCCTACCTCCACCCCTACTCCACCATCCTTTGGCCTCATGCTGTTCACGTGATCCTTTGCAACATTTGGCTAAATTGACCTCATTCATTTTTCTCCATATGGGTCAGAGGCAAGGATAAAAAATTCTCGCATCTCTGGGGGAGCAAGAGAAGTTCAGCTAAGCTGAGAAGTTTCTGGCATTTCCTGTCCCAATACTTGTAGTCATGATCTTCCTGTCAGTATTCCTGGTGTGGGGCTTGATTTCTGGAAAGCCGCTGTTACCTGGACTTCACCAGTCCTTGTCTTTTCAATCAAGAGGATCAGGACCCTTGAGAAGTGAGCATTTAGCTCCAGGCATGGGGAGTGTAGTGACTATGGGCACCCCTTTCAGCCTGTGGGAATGGGGAAAATGAGAGGGTGTTGCATGCTGGCTCAGCCTCTATCTCTGCCCGAAGGGCATTCCACCCAACAGGTGACCGGGCATGACCACTACAATGTCGATTTGAAGCCAGCCACGGGGTTCAACGGTAGGTTTGGCTACCGCCGTAACACCCCATCCCTCCGTCATCACACATCCGTGTTTGGGGAGATCACTCAATTCCCTCTCTTCTGACAACATTGCTTCCTTATTACAACCATTGGCCTGAATTTCTAAGAAAGGTGTTTATATGAATTCTCAATGATATTTTATATTAAAATTTATTTGTGTCTCCAAGTGTGTGGTTTCTCCCCTATTGTCAGGGACAAGTGAGCTTTTCTATCCTCAGTTTCTCTACCTCTGGAGAGAAGAGGAGCCAGGGCTTCTCAGGTCTACATCCTAGCACTCCATGCCAGTGAGGGGCCTCAGTTCTCATTTGTTCGCATGATCCGAAGGAACTACATTAGGTTTGTTTCGGAATAACCCAGGGGTCCTGCACATGCTAGACTAGTACTCTGCTACTGAGATACCCACCCCCATCCCTGGGAACTTCACTCTTAACCTTCAATGAAACACTTCCCCGGTATCAGTAGCACTCTGAAGTCAGAAACTGGGTACAATTTTTATGAAAAACAGAGTTGGCAATGAATCTAAAGGGATTGGACCTTGGTTGCCCTGAGAAGGATTTTCTGATATGTCAAATCATTACATTCCAGAAAACAGATTTTGCCAGGCATGGTGGTATATGCTAGTAATTCTAGCAACTTGGGAGGTTGAGGAAAGAGGATTGAAAATTCAGCAGTTTAGTAAAGCCCTAAACAACTTAGCCAGACCCTATCTCAAAGAATAAAAAGTGCTGGGGATATAGCTCAGAGGTTAGTGCCCCTGAGTTCAATCCCCAGTTACCAATATAAAACAAAACAACAACAACAAAAAAGCAAAACAAAGCCAGATCTCCTTTCTACTCTCAATTCATCTAAAGGCAGGGGCAAACAAGGGGAGAATACAGAGCTTTTTATTTATTTAGTACTGGGGATTGAATCCAGGTGCGTTTATCACTAAGCTACACCCCCGAGTCCTGTTTATTTTTATTTCGAGATGGGGTCTCACTGTTGAGGCTGACCTACAAACTTGACATCCTCCTGCCTCAGCCTCCTACTCAGCTTCTCGAATCACTGGAATTACAAGTGTGTACCACAGGGCCTGGCTGTTGTTCTTGGTTGATTTTTAACCCAAGGATTCTGACAGAGTATCCAGGATGCTTTGCTTATGCTCTGCACTTTCCTTTTCAGCTAGTTTGTAGGATGTCAGTTTTAAAGGTCTCCACCCAGTTTATTGGCATTCAGAAGTCAAAGCAGATGATGGATTCTAAGAAGGTGAGGCTTCAGAACACAAAGCTTGCCAGAGTTCTAGCATGGTGGAACCCCTTTGTACTGAGTCACCATAAGTGGATAAGGAAAGACAATTATGGGGGCTGGGGATGTGGCTCAAGTGGTACGGCGCTCGCCTGGCATGCACTAGATGCTGGGTTTGATCCTCAGTACCACATAAAAATAAAATAAAGATGTATCCACCGAAAAAAACTAAAAAAAAAAAAAAAAGAATTATGGTAGGGTGTGGGGATATAGTTGAGGGGTAGAGCATTTGAGTGGAGATGAAGAGGTCCCTGATTCAAGTCCGGGTTGGGGATGTGGCTCAAGCGGTAGCGCGCTGGTCTGGCATGTGTGCGGCCCAGGTTCGATCCTCCTCCATACCACATACAAACAAAGATGTTGTGTCCGCCAAGAACTAAAAAATAAAAATATTTAAAAAAAAATAAATTAAAAAAAAAATAAAAAATTTCTAAAAGATATTTGTTTATATTATAGACCTAAGAGGTTTTCTCACTTTTATTTTATTTATTTATATGTGGTGCAGAGGCTCGAGCCTAGGGCCCCACTTTGAGCCTAGGGCCCCACGTGAGCCTAGGGCCCCACATGAGCTAGGCGAGCCCTCTACCACTGGGCCCCTCTCCCAACTTTTTCATTGGTTCTTTTAGTTCTCTCATGTGTTGCAATTGTTCTTTTGCCTACCTGCCTTTCTTTCTTGTACTGGGAATTTAAGCCAGGGGTGTTCTATCACTGAGCTACACCCCTAACCCTTTTTTTAATATATATTTTGAAACAGGGTTCACTAAAATGCTGAGGCTGGCCTTGAATTTGCAATCCACCTACTGAGTAACTGGGATTACAGGCATATACACTACCATGTCCCAGTTGTTCCTGTTCTCACATTCTGTTTCATTCATTATATTCTTTTTATCTTATTTAATTAAAATTATGATTGCTGCTGGGTGTGGTGGTGCAAGTCTGTAATCCCTGTGACTAGAGAGGTTGAAGCAGGAGAATCGCCACGTTCAATATTAGTTTAGCAATTTAGTGAGGCCCGAAGCAACTTAGTGAGATCCTTTCTCAAAAAATAAAAAAGGCTGGGGATGTAGCTATTGGTAAAGCCCCTCTGGGTTCAACCCAGTAGCAAATAAATGAACAAACAAATGGCTAGGAACGTAGCTCATTGGTAGAGCTCTTGTCTAGTTTGTAGGAGACCCTGGCTTCAATCTCCAGTATAAATAAACAAACAAACAAACAAACTGCACTTCATGGTTAATTCTCCTGCCTCAGCCTCCTGAGTCATTGGGATTACAGGTGTGAGCCACTGTGCCCAGTCAGGGAGTTGTTTTAATTTCCCTTCCCTTCCCTCCCCTGCTATGGAGAAGGCACTTCCTTACAATATTCAGAAAGCCAGAACAGACAGATCATCAGTGAATCAAGGACTGGTGGGGCCGGGGTGGGGGTGTCTTAATTCTGTTTTGAAGCATTTCACTATAGGGCAGCTAGTCCCTGCACTAATTTTATGTTTCCTCCAGCAATCCCCCCCTCTATTTCTAATAGACTTCTTAAATCCAATTGACATCAATTTTAGGGCTTTATAGAAATTGGATTTGTGGGGTGAGGATAAAGATCAGTGGTAGAGTGCTTGCCTAACATGTGCAAGGCCCTGGGTTTCATCCCTATCACCACAAATGTTGGATTTCTGAAATGTCTTTATGTCCCTTCCTTTGCCACTTAATAAACATTGCTTTCATGGATGGGTCACAGGTACATTCCTGGGGGTACTGCAGCTTCACATCTTGTATGTCAGTTTGCCCCAAGTGTGGGGAATAGGTACTTAAGGAATTTGCAAGTTGACTATAGCTATCAAACAGGCCATGAAAAACTCTGAACCCGAAAGTGAAAAAATGTTTTCGTTTTTTAAATATTTATTTTTTAGTTGTAGTTAGACACAATACCTTTATTTATTGTTATGTAGTACTGAGAATCGAACCCAGGGCCTTGCATGTGCTAGGCGAGCGCTCTACCACTGAGCCACAACCCCAGCCCCAATGGTTTTGTTTTTCAAGTCTCTCTCATTCCTGAATATCTTAAGGAAAAGATTTTATTTGGTGCCAGTTCCTTAACATTTTAGAATCTCCCCTTTCTCAATCAAAGGAGCTTATGTAAATATCTAGCTAGTGTTTAATAATATTATATTTACTTTTACATTCTTTTTATGGCAAGTGATGTGACTTTTTTTTTGCTGGGGGGTACCAGGGATTGAACTCAGGGGCATTTGACCATCGAGCCACATCCCCAGTCCATTTTTTTTGTATTTTATTTAGAGACAGGGTCTCACTGAGTTGTTTAGTGCCTCACTTTTTGCTGAGGCTGGCTTTGAACTCGTGATCCTCCTTTCTCAGACTCCTGAGCCACTGGGATTATAGGCATGTGCCACCACGCCTGGCATGATGCCAATTTTAATACAGCCTTATTGATCTAATTCATGTATCATGTAATTGGCCCATCAAAAGTATAGATTTCAAGCCTCCGGGTATAGCTGAATGTAGAGCATTTGCCTAGCAAGGCCTTGGGTTCAATCTCCAGTCCCACAAACAAAAGTGTAGAAATCAGTGTTTTAAAAAGTATATTCAAAGTTGCACAACCATCTAAAACAATTTTAGAACATTTTAATCACCCCCAAACCAAACTCCATACTCATTAGCAGTAACTCCCCATTTCCTTCCAATGGACCCATCCGGCAACCAGTGTTCTTTATTGATTTGCCTATTCTGTTTATATTCAGACATTTCATATACATGGAATCATAAAACATGTCATCTTTTGTGGTTGGCTTTTTTCACTTACCATGCTGCTTATTTAATATTATTGTTATTATTTTTTGTGGTACTGGGGATTGCCACTGAGCTACATCCACAGCCCTCTTTATTCTTTATTTTGAGACTGATCTCACAAAGTTTCTGAGATTGGCTTTGAACTTGTGATCCTCCTGCCACATCTTCCTTAGTCACTGGGATTACAGGCGTGCTCCACCTCACCTTGCTCCAAACTGTTTTTAAGGCTCATCCATATTGTAGCATGTGGCAGGACTTTATTCCTTTTTATGGACAAATAAGAATCCATTGTGTAGATACATTACATTTTATTTATTCATTTATCAGCTGCTGCACATTTTTGGGCCATCATGAATAATACTGCTGTGAAATTAATGTACAAATTTTGTTACATATGTGCTAAATAAGTATAAAACAACTACAAGATCTAATAAATGAATTTCACAATGTTGTAAAATACAAGATTAATCTAAAAATTGAGTCTTATATGCCAGCAGGAAACAATTTATAAACTAAAAAATATTCCATTTAAAATAGCATCATAAAAATAAAATATTTAGGAAAAACTTAATGAAGTTGTGCAAAACTTCTATTCCAAAAGTTACAAAAAAAATGAAGAACATCTAAATAAATGGGATAATGTGTCATCTTCAAATTGTGAAGACTTATTAATGATAGAGAAGCCAACTCTCAAATTCATAGATTCAGCACAAAACCATGAAAATCTTAGCAGGCTTTTAAATTGGCAAGCTAACATTTACATGGAAATACAAGACAGACTATTCAAAATAATCTTAACAGGAAGAGAAAAAATAGAAGGCCTTAATACTACCTGCTCTCCTTTAATTCTATAAAGCTAAACTAATAGGTGGGGAGAAAAAAGTCTTCAAAGAACTGAGCTGGAGCTGGAGGTGTGGTTCAGCGCTAGAGCACCCTGGGTTCAATCTCCCCAGCACCAAAAAGGAACGAAAAAGTCATGCGGGAATAATTGTGTTTGTATATGGGAAAAGTGAATCTCACCATACACAAAAGTTACTTTGAGAAAAAAGATTATAAACCATGAAGCTACTAAGAAGAAAACAAGAGATTATCTTTCGGAAGCTGGAAGTACACCAGTCCCAGCTTTTTTTTTTTTTTTTTTTGGGAAGGCCTTTTCTCCCCATTGAATTGTTTTGGTGGCTTTTTGAAAATCAAATGGTCACCTAAGTGTAGATCTGTTTCTAGGCCCTCTATTCTCCTCCACTGATCTGTCAATCCTTATGCCAGCACTATTTGTCTTGATTAGTATAGCTTTACAGAAAATATGGAAGGCAGGAAGTAAGTCCATAGAGGAGACACTAAAAGCAACAGGCATAAAGGAAAATATTGATAAATTATACTTCACCAAAATTTCAAATATATGCTTATTAAAAGACACCGTTAAGAAATTAATAAGCAAGCGACAGATTAGGAGAAACTATTTGCAAAATATGTTATCTGACGAAGAACTAGGGTTCAGAGTATGTAAAGACCTTATAATTCAAAAGTAAAAAGAACCCAATTAAGGAAATGGGGAAGCTGGCCGACTTTTTAAAGGTTTGGCTCAGGAAAGCTGATAGAACTTGATGGTTTCTATCGATCTCCGTAAGATAAACCTGGAGTGAGGAGCTTGGCCGGGAGTGAAGGTTTGAAGAGCGCGGGATCGACAGTCAGTCGACAGACTGGGGTCTGGGGCTGGACGCGGGGGAGGTAACTAGGCTGTTCCACACGGTCCAGACTGGGGGATGCAGATTGGACCAGCCAGGACCCTGGCACACTACCATGGCCACAAGCCGTACCGGAGGCCGGCCGCAAGCTGTAACTGCACTCAGAAGCGGTATCCGGACCTCAGGCGAAGTGCCGAGCCGAGGTAGCCAAAAGGAGACCACAGAAGGTATGACAATGGATCCTGAAACTTTGAGGAAACGGCACGAGAGGCCACCGTCACGTAGCGCGACAGCTAGGATTAAACGTCATGACTCTGCGACGTCGACGCGGCAATATGACGCCACTCCCGGAAGTGTCCTCGACCGGGCGATGAAAGTGGCCGCCAGTGCCGGTCAGGACCAGGTTCGGAGAGGTCGTCCCTGAACTCTTCCCCTAAGTTTCTTCTTGATCTTCCCTGAATTTTCCACATCCGCATAGCGAGAAGACGTCTCTGTCATCATGGGAGGCGGAGACCTGGTGAGTGGAGGGAGCCCGGAGCCCGACTGGCGCTGGGGACGGAAATTGGCAGGGAGTGGGGCGGGGGCGGAGTGGGTAACCGTGGTGACGAATCCTCGCTGTGGGGGAGGAGGGGGCGGTAACCCTGGAAAGGGGAGGCATCTTTAGGACCTTGGAGTGAAGAGTTCGAGGTGTGTCGCGAATGGGGCTGGTGATGTTTGTGTGCTCGTTGATGGGGGCTCTCTGGGCTGGAAATTCTGGGTAGACCGTGAAGGGGGAGAGATGTTTAGGAAAGGAGGCAGATATTGAGGAATGGCACACAGATTTGTTTGTATATCTTGTCTTGGGACACATCTCCTCTTCTTACCTAGGCGTTCAGAGTCGTGCCCTGGGCTGTAGTGTGAGTAATTTGTGCCTGGTTCTCCCTGGCCCTTAGCCAGGCCTTTTGAAGAAGAGCCATTTTAAGCCTGAAGGAATCTTCATGTCCAACTTTCTTTCATGTCTCTGTCATTGCTCATTCTGATCTGTAGTTACAGAGCTTTGGTTGGATTCATAGCACTTATGTAAGTTAAGTGGCAGTTTCTCCTAAGTTGTGTCGTTGATTTGCAAGGGACTGAGGCCTTAAATAGGGCAAAGGTATCCAGAAGGGCTCAGTGCAAGATTAGGAAAGTACCAACCTCCTGAAAGTGGAGCTAATTGAATCAGCAAATAGGTCAACTTAGACACCTGTTCAGTAGCCCTAGTATTTTTCAGATGTTCTCAATTAGACTGAGTTCCAGGACTCCATCAAGCTTCCTGTGAAAATTTAGTGTATTCTTCAGGTAACTGAAGGAAAATTCTAAGCCAGTGTTTCTTAATCTCAGAGCTCTTGACAGTTTGGGCTAGATAATTCTTTGTAGATGGGGGAGCAGAGGGGACTTGGATTGCCCTGTGAATTGTAGGATGTTTAGTAGCATCTCTGACCTCTAGCTGCTAAATGCCAAAAGCACCGTCTATCCTTCATGTGACAACTAGAAATGTTACCAAACAATTCCACCCATCCCTTGAGGGTGGGGGGCACATATGGTTGAAGCAGGGAGGAAAGGGATAACTAGTAGGGTAAGTGGGGGAGATGAGGAAGGAAGGATGGATGGATGGATGGACTGAACAAAGGAAAGACTAAAGAAAGGAAGGAATGACCTGACACAGGGGAAAGGCACTTAAGGAATGAAAGAGAAAAGCAAAAAATAAGGGAGCTCTCATTGACTGCACATTTTTCTACCTGCCAGGTATTTTGTGTACATTTTATCTTTGTAACTGGTCTTCAGTCTTGGCCCTCTGTGGTCCACATTTCACATGATAGCGGGTTATGCCTCTTTCCTGCATATAATTAAGTGTTTCCTGCCATTAACAGGATAAACTCTAATCTCTTCACATGGCTTGTAAAGCCCTTAATCTTTTTTTTTTTTTTTGAGAACTGGAGATTGAACCCCAGGGGCATTTTACCACTGAGCCATATACCCAGCCTTTTGAGACAGGATCTCACTAAGTTGCTTAGGGCCTCTTTAAGTTGCTGAGGCTGACCTTGAACTTTGACAATTCTCCTTCCTCAGCCTCCCGAGTTGCTGGGATTACAGGTGTATACCACTGCACCCATTGATCTGCTTCTTAGTTGACTTCATCTTGTACCCCTTCTCCACCAATCAGTTTGCATTCCACCTCTAGCTACACTGAATTATTTGTGCTGTGTTCTTTCTCACAACTGGGGCTGTAGTTGCTGAGTGCTGTTTCCTCTGTTTGAAAACCTGCCCTCCTGCCAGGCACAGTGGCACATGCCTATAATCCCAGTGGTTAGGGAAGCTGAGGCAGGAGAATCACAAGTTCAAAGCCAGCCTCAGCAATTTAGTGAGGCTCTAAGCAAATTAGTGAGACCCTGTCTCAGAATATAAACTAAAAGGGGCTGGGGATATTGCTCAGTGGTTAAAACATCCCTGGGTTCAATCACCAGTACCAAAAAAACAAAAAACAAAACAAAACAACAAAAAAAATCTGCCCTCCTATTGCCTACTTCCCACTCCATCAGGCTAATTTAGAATTGTCCTTCGATGTTACATCCTTGGAGAAACTTCTGATGGGCAGTGTTAGCCAGGGGAATAGCTGATGGAGAGAAGAAAGAGAAGAAACATTCTTTGAGGATAAAGGATTTTAGTTTTGTTTTTTTTTTTTCTTTTTCGTGGTGCTGGGGATTGAACCCAGGGCCTTATGCATGCAAGGCAAGCACTCTACCAACTGAGCCATATCCCCGACCCCTCTTTGAGGGTAAAGGAGAAGATCAGAACCAAGGGGAGTTTCCTGGAAGGAACATTGAAGGAAGTCCTAGGTAGGTTATACAGTAAGTTTAGGGATTTGGGTTGTAAAAGAACTGAAGAAAAGGAATGTTGTATTCCTAAGAAGGAATGCTTAATGCCAGTGAGTTCTGTTGCCTTTCTAAATATATACCATCCTCCCTCCCTCCCTGCCCCATTCCTCCTGTCTTGCCATCACCAACTCCCATTTTAGGGATGGCCAGTGAAAGTACAAGATTAAAACTGTTTGAAGGGAACTCAGGAGGGGCCAGGTCCATCCTGCACAACTTTATGTACTGTTAGAAATATTGGGGTGTTACAAGAAATTTGATATGTGCTCAAAAGCTACTGGGCAGCTGGGAGTGGTGGCTCACATCAGTAATCCCAGCAGCTTAGGAGGCTGAGGCAGGAGGATGGTGAGTTCAAAGCCAGCCTCAGCAATTTCGAGGTGTTAAGCAACTCAGTGAGACCGTGTCTCCAAATAAAATGCAAAATAGGCCTGGGCATGTGGCTTAGTGGTCAAGTGCCCCTGAATTCAATCCCCGGTACTCCCCATCCCCCCCAAAAATGCTGCTGGGCAAAGCAAACTTTACTTTACTTTACAGGGGTTACAGTCTGTGTGATTGACTAATTTAAAATTGGGAAGTGCAAGGGGAAGAGATATAGTTATGTTTGGATTACCTACTCAACTACCTACAGGCATTATGATTGGAAGACTGAGGACAAAGGGAGATATATTGGGGGGGGATCCAAATGGCTACATTGCAACCTCATAGTTTTGTGACTTAAAAAGAGCTCCACCTAACTACACACTATGCAATTTAAGTTTTAAATTACAGCAAACACATTTTTGTTAACTCAGACTATAGGTTTAACTTTGTTTTTTTTTTTTGTTTATTTGTTTTTTGAAATACATATTTTTTAAAATGTTTATTTTTTTTTTTTTTTAGTTTTTTTAGGTGGACACAATATCTCTATTTTATTTTTATGTGGTGCTGAGGATCGAACCCAGTGCCTCACGCATGCCAGGTGAGCACGCTAACACCTGAGCCACATCCCGAGCCGTTTGTTTGTTTTTTGATACTGAGGATTGAACCCAGGGGCACTCAACCACTGAGTCACATCCCCAGCCCTATTTTTTTTTTTGTATTTTATTTAGACACAGGGTCTCACTGAGTTGCTAAATACCTCACTTTTGCTGAGGCTGGCTTTGAACTCACGATCCTCCTGCCTCGGCCTCTCAATCCACTGGGATTATATAGGTTTAACTTTGACAGAAAAGAGAACATTAATCTTACAGTACTTAAACACCCTCTCCATATGAGAAATTATTGGATATAAATCTTGTCATTGCAAAAGATATCTTCTTCCCCACTGTTTTTTTTTTTTTTTGGGGGGGGGGTGTTGGGGATGGAACCCAGGACCTCATGTATGTAGGCAAGTACTCTACTATAAAACCATTGAGCTATAACCCCCAGCTGAATTGTTTTCTCCCTACTTCCATTCACCACAGAATTTGAAGAAAAGCTGGCACCCACAGACCCTTCGCAATGTGGAGAAAGTGTGGAAGGCCGAGCAGAAGCATGAGGCAGAGCGGAAGAAGATTGAGGAACTGCAGCGGGAACTGCGAGAGGAGAGGGCCCGGGAAGAGATGCAGCGCTATGCCGAGGATGTTGGGGCTGTCAAGTAAGTGAGGAGTTGGGTGTCCTGATGTACAGAAAATTGCAGGACTGACTGCAGATGCCTAATCCAGATGTTGCATGATGGCTTAATGATTAAGTGCATGGGTTTTGGAGTGGGACTGACCTGGATTCTAAGGTTGGCTGTGCCTTGCTGTGAAACTAGGAGCCTTGGTTACTTTAGTAGAACCAGTTCTTAAGGCTTATTGAAGATCAAATGAGATTACATATTTAGGACTTAGTGTAGGCCACATTCCTGGTAGACTGTTGACAAATAAGCATGGCTGAGGATGGTTGTCTTTTCCTTGTTTCTTTTCTTTTTTTTTTTTTTTAAGAGAGAATTTTTTTTTTTAATATTTATTTTTTAGTTTTTTGGCGGACACAACATCTTTGTTTGTACATGGTGCTGAGGATCGAACCCGGGCCGCACGCATGCCAGGCGAGCGCGCTACCGCTTGAGCCACATCCCCAGCCCTCCTTGTTTCTTGATATGTGTCCACATCTCAGTCCTGCCTTTGTGTGCGAGCTCTTTTTATTGGGGCAGTGAGTCCCATGGGAGAAGGTAGATGGTGTGTCTGTCAACCAAACCTGTGTGGTTGTGGACAGTCCTACTGGATCAGTCAGTCAGTTTCTTATGTAATACATGCTAGGAATAACAGATATCATAAAAGGAAATGGGAGTAAATTTATGTTTTGAGACAGTAAAAAGCATAAAACCTGCTATTCATTCCTAAATCAGAATGACATTAAAAATATCGCTAGAATAAAGTTGAGTAATCTGTAGTGACATTCCCCTTGTTCATGTCTTCGTGGACAAAGTTTTCAGGGTAGTCGGTGGCTCACTTCTGTTATTGGATATGTGGGCTTTTCCTTAATAATCATGATAGAGGTTTGTGACATTGATGATTGTATGCATATGGTACCAGGTGCAGTGGTGCATACCAGGGGCTTGGGTGGCTGAGACAGGAGGATTACAAATTCAGGGCCAGCCTTAGCAATTTAGTGAGGCCGTAAGCAACTTAGTGAGATCCTGTCTTGAAATAAAAATTAAAAAAGGCTGAGATGTGGCTCAGTGGTAAAGTGGCTCTGGGTTCAATCCCCAATACTAAAAACAATAACAATAACAAAAAACAAAATAACATTGATTATAAGTTTCATATGCATATGAAACTTAGTTTCAGTTTATGGAAATGCTGTGATGGAACTGTAGCAGGAAAATAGATTGGGGAAAAGGCTGTTCTGATTTTTTTTTTTTTTTTTTGGTTGGTTTTATTTTATTTGGAATTGAACCCAGAGGTGCCACTGTGCTCATCTTGCCCAGCTCCTGATATTTTTTGATCCCTTCCCCTTGTGTCCTCCAACATTATAAAAACAAAGGTCAGCATGTGGGTCCCTTCCCTCTTTTTTTGGTCTTTAATGAAGATATATTTAGATAATCTTCTTATCCATTTGGCTGATTTGTATAGTTCTTGCACAGTTTCATGCTTTTAATGTAGCCAGTAAAACATCTTTTCTATTTAACGATTCACTTCTGTGGTTCAGGTAATCTTTTCCATGTATGAAATGCATCTCAGAATGAAGAAAACCTTTAATACTTAATGTGGATCTCAAAATTCCTCTCTAAAATAGAATGTTTCTTTAATATTTACTGATAATATTGGAAAATTTCATTTCCTAAACAATGGTCTATACTGGTGTTTCTCAACCCTTGCACTTTAGAATGGGCTTGGAAGATTATTCTAAATAAAGATGGGATGAGGGGCTGGGGTTGTGGCTCATTGGTAGAGCACTTGCCTTGCACGTGTGAGGCACTGGGTTCAATCCTCAGCGCCACGTAAAATAAATAAAATAAAGGTATTGTATCCCTCTACACACACACACACACACACACACACACATATATATATAAAGAATGATAGGTTTGTGACATTGATGATTGTATGCTAAGTCTTTTCCCTTGGAATATAGGGGTTGTGTGAGGTAGGGCAACTATGTGTTTTAAAAGGCCCCCTGGCACAGTACACTGGCACATGTCTATAATCTCAGCAATTTGGGAGGCTGAGACAGGAGGATCATGAGTTAAAGGCCAGCCTTTGCAACTTAGCAAGATACTGTCTGAAAATAAAAATATGAAAAAGGGCTGGGGATGTAGCTCAGTGGTAAAGTGCCCCTGGATTTAATCCCCAGTATCAAAAGTAAATAAATAAATAGTCCCCTATTGTTGTACAGCTTTGATTGAGAATTGGATCTGTGTCCTTAATGATAGCAACAACAGCAGAAACTTTGTTTTCACATGCTTTGACCCCCAAATCTTTCCTTATTTAAAAACTCATAATAATAGTTTGACAACAGTAACTGACTACATTTTAGAGATGAGGATATAAGTTATCCAGCTGATTTCTGGTAGAACCAGATGCCAAGCTCTGTGCCCCTGGATTCCAACTCTACATGTTTTCTTCCTAGGGCCTGAGTAAGGCTGATATGAATTGAGTGCTTTTGAGATTAGGTGGAGCCAGGCAGTTACTACTACTTTATATAAGTATCTGCCTTCATTTTTCATATCCTTTCTTCTGTATTTGGCCCAGTTGCCTTTCCCCTAGAAGCTCTTGAATTTTATCTGTAGTCTCCTCTTCTTCTTCTTCTTCTTTTTTTTTGAGTACTGGGGATTGAACCCAGGGGCGTTTAACCACTGAGCTACATCCCCAGCCCTTTTTTATGTTTTATTTAGAGACAGGGTCTCACTGAGTTGCTTAGGGCCTCGCTAAGTAGCTGAGGTTGGCTTTGAATTTGCAATCCTCCTGCCTCAGCCTCCCAAGCCTCTGGGATTACAGGTATGCGCCACTGCACCCAGCACCTCTTACCTTTCTTTCTTTCTTTTTTTAATATCTTTATTTTTTAGTTGTAGATGGGCAATACCTTTATTTATTTATTTTTATGTGGTGCTGAGGCTCGAACCCAGTGCCTCACACATGCTAGGTGAGTGCTCTACCACTGAGCCACAGTCCCAGCCTTCCTCTTACCTCCCCCCTCTTACCTTTCTTTTCTTTTCTTTCTTTTTTTTTATAAAGATAGAGTGAGAGAGGGAGGGAGGGAGAGAGAGAGAGAGAGAGAGAATTTTTAATATTTACTTTTTAGTTTTTTTCGACGGACACAACATCTTTGTTTGTATGTGGTGCTGAGGATCGAACCCGGGCCGCAGGCATGCCAGGCGAGCGCGCTACCGCTTGAGCCACATCCCCAGCCATTTTCTTTTCTTTTTTTAAGAGAGAGAGAGAGAGAGAGAGAGAGTGAGAGAGAATTTTTTTTAATATTTATTTTTTAGTTTTTGGCGAACACAACATCTTTGTTTGTATGTGGTGCTGAGGATTGAACCCGGGCCGCACGCATGCCAGGCGAGTTCGCTACCGCTTGAGCCGCATCCCCAGCCCCCCTCGTACCTTTCTTAATGTCCCTTCTCCTTTCTTCCCTTACGTAGCTCCTTGCTCTCACCCTGTACTGCCCATGCTCCCTGATTCCCTCTATCTGAGCTCTTTTGTTCCTCTAGCACCAATATTTGCTTCATGCTGATGACCCTTAAACTTATCCCACATAGACTCTGTGTCATTGTATATTCAGCTGCCTAACAGGTAGTTCTACTTTTTGACCCAGAAGTTCAAGAGTCACCTCAACAAACACTTAGCTTTCATCAGCCCCATTTGGTGATTTGTAGACCTATGGGCCTTACCAGTAGCCAGTGAATCTACTTCATCCTTCTGACCTTTTTATCTTTCTGACACACAGGAGATATTTTTACAGATTAATAAATGAGTCTTTATTCCCAACTCCTCCTCCTGTTAGTGTCAGGTACACACAGGCAAACTTCTGATTATCTTTGACATGTATTTTAATTGCTCCCTCATCCCCTCCACTGGCTATGGTGGTTTGTGGTTGTCCTGGCTTCTCAGGAGGCTGAGAGGAGGAGGATTCCTTGAGCCCAGGAGTTTAGGGTCAACCTTGGCAACATATCAGGACACTGTTTTTTGAGGACATTTAAATTTTTTTTTTTTTTTAATACCAGGGATTGAGTCCATAGGTGCTTTACTACTGAGCCACATCCCCTGCCCTTTTTATTTTTATTTTGAGACAAGGACTAATTTGCTTAGAACCTTGCTCAATTGCCTTGAACATGGCGATCCTTCTTCCTCAGCCTCCCAAGTTGCTGTGATTACAGGTGAGTGCCACCACACCTGGCTTTCTTTCTTTCTTTTTTTTTTTTTTAAGTATTTTTTTAGTTGTCAATGGACCTTTATTTTATTTATTTGTATGTGGTGCTAAGTCTCAAACATAGGGCCTCACATATGGAAAGCAAGCGCTCTACCACTGAGACACAACCCCAGCCCCCTGGCTTTCTTTCTTTCTTGAGCCCAGGGGTGCTTTACCACTGAGCTATATTCCCAGCTCTTTTTATTTATTTATTTAGTTTTAGTTGGACACAATACCTTTATTTTATTTATTTATTTTTATGTGGTGCTGAGGATCAAACCCAGCACTTTGCATGTGCTAGGTGAGCGCTCTAGCGCTGAGCCACAACCCCAGCCCATTTATGTTTTATTTTAAGGCAGGGGCTTCTAAGTTGCTGAGGGCCTTGCTAAGTTGGCTGAGGCTGGTCTTGAACTTGGGATCTCCTGTCTTAACCTCCTGAGTTGCTGGGATTACAGGCATGTACCACCCTGCCGGGTTTCACTATGTCCTTAATTTCTGTCAAAAAGTACTTCCTAGCTCAAGGTTCATTGACTATGACATTGTCAGACGTTGAACCCATGATTGTTGGGCACCTGTCTAGGAGACACAGCCATAGTCCCAGCCATTTAGGGGTTTAAAACTTGATGGGAGAGAGAAACACATACATAAGTAACACAAAGAACAACAAGCATTTATTGATACTTACTTTGTGCCATGACTCTGCTGAATTACTTAAAAATCCATTAACTGGGCAAGGGATGTAGTTCAGTGGTAGAGTACTTGGCTAGCATACACAATGCCCTGGGTTCAATTCTCAGTACCATAAAAACAACAACAACAAAAAATCTAAAAATCCATTGACTGACTTAATTCCCAGCAACCCTGTGAGGTAGATAGTATTATATCCCCATTTGATAGGTGAAGACACCAAGGCTCAGAGGACTTACTTGGCTATAGAGCCAGGATTCAGGCCCGTGTTGCTTGACTCCAGAACTTATCCTCTTTTTATTTATTTATTTTTTCTGAGACAGGGTCTCACTACGTTGCCCAGTGGTCTTGAACTCCAGGACTTAAGCCATCCTCCTACTTTGGCCTTCCTAGTAGGTGGGATTATAGAACTTGTACTCATAATTGTTATGCTATATTCCCTATCAGGAAATGAGCCTCTGAGAATATTCTAGTTACCACTGACCTTCCTGCTCAGACCTCCTTATGATGTGATATGGTCTGCCCTATACAATCAGTTCTTTTCTTCTCAGACCTAGGAGTTTTCTATTGTTTGGATTACAGAATACATAAAACTAGGCAGGAGCTTGGAGTTGTGACTCAGCGATAGAGAGCTCGCCTCTCATATGCGATGCTCTGGGTTTGATCCTCAGCACCACATAAAAATAAATAAATAAAATAGAGGTTATTGTGCAACTGCAGCTAACAATAAATAAATATTAAAAAAAAAAAAAAACTACACAGGAAAATTCCCAAGTAAATGATGTTCATGTTTCATTGCTATTAGCCTTTTGGCCTTTTATCTTCTAAGTATTTATGGTATTTTCTTGTAATTTTATTAAACATTTATTTTGATCACAACTGCAATAAAAAATATAAATAAATAAATGTATTATCTTCAAATACATCCCACTTCCCATGCTGTTTTAAATTAAAAAAATTGTTTAATGTTTCTTTATAGATTACTTGATCATAGTTGTCCAGCCTATAATTTTATTTATTTATTATTTTTTTGAGGTGCTGGGGATCAAACCCAGGACTTTGCACATGTTAAGTGCTCTGCCCCTGATCTACTGGTGCCCCTAGCTCACCAGTATGTTCCCCTGCTCCAGTACTGGGTATTGGATCCAGTGGTGCTTTAATATTACTACTTCCTAACTGCCCCTGTCTTCCCCAGACAAGGTCTTGCTAAGTTGCCCAGGTTGACCTCAGATTTACAGTCCTCCTGCTTCAGCCTTCCTAGTATCTGTGTTACCTCACCCAGTGCCATATACAATTTAAAAACAGACTATAACTTGTTCTAAAATTCTTCTTGAACTGGCATCTGGTCCATTTTGTATTGCCAGTTTGGCTCTTGTAAGACACCACTTGTGATGAAGTTCCATGGATCTTCTTTCCCTCTAACTTAGAACATGACTTCCCAAACTGCAAAGCTCCCTCCTTCCCAGGAGCCATGATATTCCCAGGGCCTTGTATATGCAGGGCAAGCACTCTACCAACTGAGCTGTATCCCCAGCCCTCTGGAGCCCTGGTTTTAATAGTTGTCAGCCTCCTTCCTGGTCTCCGATTTATTTACATGAGAGATTTAGGAAACCCTTTGTTTACATGAAAGACACCACTACCTGTGGTATTCCTTTTTTTTTTTTTTTTTTAATTTTTTATTGTTGGTTGTTCAAAACATTACAAATTTCTTGACATATCATATTCCTCACTTTGATTCAAGTGGGTTATGAACTCCCACCTTCACCCCATACACAGATTGCAGAATCACATCAGTTACACATCCATTGATTTACATATTGCCATACTAGTGTCTGTTGTGCTCCGCTGCCTTTCCCATCCTCCACCATCCCCCCTCCCCACCTCTCCCCTCCCCTCCCCTCCTCTCTCTCTACCCCCTCCACTGTATAACCCTGAGGGTCTCCTTCCATTTCCATGCAATTTCCCTTTTCTCTCCCTTTCCCTCCCACCTCTCATCTCTGTTAAATGTTAATCTTCTTCTCCTGCTCTTCGTCCCTACTCTGATCTTAGTTACTCTCCTTATATCAAAGAAGACATTTGGCATTTGTTTTTTAGGGATTGGCTAGCTTCACTTAGCATAATCTGCTCTAATGCCATCCATTTCCCTGCAAATTCTATGATTTTGTCATTTTTTAATGCAGAGTAATACTCCATTGTGTATAAATGCCACATTTTTTTTTATCCATTCGTCTATTGAAGGGCATCTAGGTTGGTTCCACAGTCTTGCTATTGTGAATTGTGCTGCTATGAACATCGATGTAGCAGTGTCCCTGTAGCATGCTCTTTTTAGGTCTTTGGGGAATAGACCAAGAAGGGGAATAGCTGGGTCAAATGGTGGCTCCATTCCCAGCTTTCCAAGAAATCTCCATACTGCTTTCCAAATTGGCTGCACCAATTTGCAGTCCCACCAGCAATGTACAAGTGTACCCTTTTCCCCACATCCTCGCCAGCACTTGTTGTTGTTTGACTTCATAATGGCTGCCAATCTTACTGGAGTGAGATGGTATCTTAGGGTGGTTTTGATTTGCATTTCTCTGACAGCTAGAGATGGTGAGCATTTTTTCATGTACTTGTTGATTGACTGTATGTCCTCCTCTGAGAAGTGTCTGTTCAGGTCCTTGGCCCATTTGTTGATTGGGTTGTTTGTTCTCTTATTGTCTAATTTTTTGAGTTCTTTGTATACTCTGGATATTAGGGCTCTATCTGAAGTGTGAGGAGTAAAGATTTGTTCCCAGGGTGTAGGCTCCCTATTTACCTCTCTTATTGTTTCTTTTGCTGAGAAAAAACTTTTTAGTTTGAGTAAGTCCCATTTGTTGATTCTAGTTATTAACTTTTGTGCTATGGGTGTCCTATTGAGGAATTTGGAGCCCGACCCCACCGAATGTAGATCGTAGCCAACTTTTTCTTCTATCAGACGGCGTGTCTCTGATTTCATATCAAGCTCCTTGATCCATTTTGAATTCACTTTTGTGCATGGCGAGAGAAAGGGATTCAGTTACATTTTGTTGCATATGGATTTCCAGTTTTCCCAGCACCATTTGTTGAAGATGCTATCCTTCCTCCATTGCATGCTTTTAGCCCCTTTATCAAATACAAGATAGTTGTAGTTTTGTGGATTGGTTTCTGTGTCCTCTATTCTGTACCATTGGTCCACCCGCCTGTTTTGGTACCAGTACCATGCTGTTTTTGTTACTATTGCTCTGTAATATAGTTTGAAGTCTGGTATCGCTATACCGCCTGATTCACACTTCCTGCTTAGCATTGTTTTTGCTATTCTGGGTCTTTTATTTTTCCATATGAATTTCATGATTGCTTTCTCTATTTCTACAAGAAATGCCGTTGGGATTTTGATTGGCATTGCATTAAACCTATAGAGAACTTTTGGTAATATTGCCATTTTGATGATGTTAGTTCTGCCTATCCATGAACAGGGTATATTTTTCCATCTTCTAAGATCTTCTTCTATTTCTCTCTTTAGGGTTCTGTAGTTTTCATTGTATAAGTCTTTCACCTCTTTTGTTAGGTTGATTCCCAAGTATTTTATTTTTTTTGAAGATATTGTGAATGGAGTGGTTGTCCTCATTTCCATTTCAGAGGATTTGTCAAAAAATATGGAACGCTTCACGAATTTGCGTGTCATCCTTGCGCAGGGGCCATGCTAATCTTCTCTGTATCATTCCAATTTTAGTATATGTGCTGCCGAAGCGAGCACTGTGGTATTCCTTTTAAAGTCCCACTACAGTCTTCCGTTATCCACCAGGGTGCAGCTCTCCCTTGTGCTCCTAACCCCAGTGGTGTGAGCAATGCCAGGCAAACCGCATGGAACCTGACCCATGACCACAGTCATTTCTTAATTATAGACTATAATGTTTCTCCAACCAGTGCTTTTATTTTTTTACTAAATTTTTTTTGTAGTTGTAGATGGAGAGCATGCCTTTACTTTATTTATTTATTTTTATGTGGTGCTGAGGATTGAACCCAGTGCCTCACGTATGCTAGGCAAGCGCTCTACCACTGAACCCCACCCCCAGCCCCATCAAACCAATGCTTTTAATAGGAAAACATTTTTCTAAAGTGTTGTGTTGGTTTATTCTTATTAAAAATGTCCGTGGGAGTGGCAGGGAAAGAGTGGCAGAGCACGTGCCTAGTGTGGGCAAGGCCCTGGGTTTGATCCTTGGCGCTGAAAAAAAAAAGTCCAAACATGCAAGTAAGAAGATATCCTCCCAGTTATTATGTAACCTCAAAACAAACAAATACACAAATTGAAGTCATATTCAAAGCACTTTGAGCATTTTGAGTTTAATGCTACAAATAATACTGTTTGGATGAAATGAATTAGCTATAAGCTGGCGTTGGCTGCTTCTATACACCTTTACTATTTGTGATATGAGGGTCCATTTTCTCACCATGTTTCTCCCTAGAATCACAGGGAAATATTTGCTTGACATGATACTATGACATCATTTGTGCCCTGTGCCATGCTCTACCTTTGGCTTAAAAACATCATTTATGTATTAGGTTATTTTTGATCTTATTATCTCCTCAAACGTGTAGTGTTATTACTGGTTCTAATGTGTCAGGCACCAAAACAAAATAAATACGAGTGATTATGTGATCACTGACATTATTTTTGGTGATAAGACAATGATGTAGAATGAGCCTATTAATTGTTTTAGATTATCTTTTGAAATTATGCTTTAAGTATATGAAAATGATTTCTCCTCTTAATTGTAAGCTCCACAAGGGCAGGCACCATTTCACCATGCTTGCCATGTGGTAAGCACCTATAGATTGAGTCCTGCTTTCATTGGGTTTTCTGTGCAGGTTTGCCGGAATCTACATTTCCTTTGAATTGTATATATTGTTTTCTTCAACCAGGAAAAAAGAAGAAAAGTTGGACTGGATGTACCAGGGTCCTGGTGGGATGGTGAATCGTGATGAGTACCTGCTGGGGCGCCCCATTGACAAATATGTTTTTGAGAAGATGGAGGAGAAGGAGGGAGGATGTTCTTCTGAGACAGGACTCCTTCCGGGCTCTATTTTTGCTCCATCTGGTGCCAATTCCCTGCTTGACATGGCCAGCAAGATCCGGGAGGACCCACTCTTCATCATCAGGTGCTGCTGAGGGTCTGGGAAGGGGGTTTGTTACAGGATGCTTGGAGACCCTGCAAAGGCAGTGGGTTGCTGGCTTTGCAGTTGGTTTTCCCTTGACTTTTATCTGTCAAGTAAAAGGATTTGTCTCCATTTGCTCTTCCTGATGTTGGGAAGGAGGCTCCATTAACACTGTCAGTTCTTAGCTGTACGGGAAGGTATTGGCAAATGTACCAAACCAGACCAGATTTATTCATTTGTCCCTTAAACAAAAATAGGAGGTTGAAGCAAGGTGACAAAGATTGGCAACTTCTTGGAAAACTGGGGATCTGTGTGAAGTTGGCTAAGTGGGTGAACAGACCTTCTTATCTTCCACTTCTTTTTTGTGAGGTGGGCAGCAGAACCCTTTAAAAAGAAACTTCAGAATTTTGAAACCCCAATGTGTGACAGATAAAAGTAGAGCTATTTTTTGGGTGTTAAATGAGACCATACTATACATATTTATTTTGGTTTAGTTTGCATTATTTTCTTTCAAGTGTGTAAGAATAAACATTGAAAAATATTTATTTTTATTTAAAAGTTTTTCTTTTGCAAATTTTCTTTAAAGTTATTTTTCTATTAAAAATGTTGTATATGTTACAAATGTTTTGTCCCATATTGTTAGCTTCCTATTTATTATAGTAAAATATAGGTAATAATTTACCTTTTTAGCCACTTTTAAAAAAAAATTATTTTTTAGGTGTAGATGGACACAACACAATGCCTTTATTTTTATGTGGTGCTGAGGATCGAACCCGGGTCCCACCTGTGCTAGGCGAGCGCTCTACCGCTGAGCCACAATCTCAGCCCCTGTTTTGTTTGTTTTTATTGGTGTATTTATATTATCATTTTTAATGTCTCTGTTGAATGGTTATGCCATGACTTATCTTGTTAATATTCTATCATGGAATCCCTAACTTGTTTCCAAATTTTCATTGTTATAAAATGAAAACTTCATAGCGACCTTCCCTGATTTTTCCTTATAGTAACAAATTCTTTCTCCCTCTCTTTTTTTGTACCAAGGATTGAACCCCGGGGTGCTTAACCACTGAGCGACATACCCAGTGCTTTTTTGTATTTTATTTAGAGATAGGGTCTCATTGAGTTGCTTAGAATCTTGCTAAGTTACTGAAGCTGGCTTTAAACTTGCAGTCCTCCTGCTTCAGCCTCCTGAGCCACTGGGAGTACAGGTGTGCATCACTGGGTCCAGCTAGTAGCAAATTCTTGAATTTGAAAATACAATTCTAGAATTTCTGAGATGAAAGAGTATGAGCTGACCAGGCATGGTGGTGCACAACTGTAATCCCAGCTACTAGGGATGTCAAAGCAAGAGGATCACAAGTTTGAGGCTATCCTGGGCAATTTAGTGAGATCTGTCTGAAAATAATAAGAAGGGTTAGGGATATAGCTCAGTGGTAGAGCATTGGGTTCAATACTCAGTACTACAAAAAAAAAAAAAAAAAAAAGTTTGTGTTGGTTGTGATAAGTATTGTCAAATAATCTTTCAGGAAGGTTGATCAGTTTACCTTCCTATTGAGAGTATATGAGAGTAAAATTTCTTAAAAGAAGAATCAGGGTGGGCATGGTGGCACACGCCTGTATCCCAGTGGCTTGGGAGTCAGAGACAGGAGGATTGTGAGTTCAAAGCCAGCCTCAGCAACAGCAAGGCGCTAAGCAACTCAGTGAGACCCTGTCTCAGAGGTTGAGTGCCCCTGAGTTCAAGCCCCAGTACCCCCGCTACCAAAAAAAGAGGAATCAGTGCATTGACTTTATTTTCCAGGTGATTATTATGATAAAAGATGGAGGTAGTTTTTGAAATTTTGCAACCAATCAATATATAAGATGACACCCATTTACTTGACCAGGTGGGAAGCCTTGAGTATGATGCCCAATGAGAAAAAATTTTAACTCACTGTCTTGCATGGCAGTGTCCCATAGTAGACTTTCCCCACAATATACAGTCTCTTATGCAGATTTGGGGGAGATTTTTGGCTTCCATGCCATCCTGTAGATTTCTTTTCTTTCTTTTTTTTTTTTTAAAGAGAGAGTGAGAATTTTAATATTTATTTTTTAGTCTTTGGCGGACACAACATCTTTGTTTGTATGTGGTGCTGAGGATCGAACCCGGCCGCACGCATGCCAGGCAAGCATGCTACCTCTTGAGCCACATCCCCAGCCCCATCCTGTAGATTTCAACAAAGCATTTCTTACAATGGTGGTTATATAGAATTTGGAGAGGAGAATGATTTAATCTTCCTTCTAAGAGAAATATTAATGATTTTTATAATGTCTTCCATTTAGGAAGAAAGAGGAGGAGAAAAAAAGAGAGGTATTGAACAATCCTGTGAAAATGAAGAAAATCAAAGAATTGGTAAGTCATGCATCAAATAAGCATAAAGCCTTTAGGTACTTTTTTGTTTTGTTTTGGTATGGGGGATTGAACCCAGGGGATTGAACCACTGAACTACATCCCAACCCTTTTTTAAAATTTTATTTTGAGACAGGGTCTTGCTACGTTTCTGAGGCTGGCTTTGAACTTGTGATCCTCCTGCCTCAGCCTCCCAAGTTGTTGGTGTTATGGGAATGTACCACCAGATCCAGCTGTCTTTTAGCTACTTAATATAAGATCTTCCCTCTGTTTCTTCCTACCAGGGAAAACAGAATGATGTTTAAGACTTTTCTTTTAGACACCATCTCTCGGTGATATTTATGCAATCTTAATAAGTTTAAGTAAGCTCAATTTCCTCTTTTGTCTTCTGGTTGGAAAAAGCACCCCTGTGTACTTACATATTTTCAGGAAAAGAGGGGTGTAGGCCATGCCTATGGAATCATGTATGCAGTATGCACAGGGGATTGGAGTGTCCTCTGTTACGGCTCACCATTCACATAACGTATGGTTACTCTTTGAGCAGTTGGTAATTTTTGCAGTCTCTGATTACTTCCAAAGGAGTTAGAATTTCTTTCAGTGGAAAGAATGGAAACTCCTAAGGAGTGGTTCTGGGGATTGTTTAAAACACAGATTCCTAGCTCACTCACCAGAGGTTCTGTTTGGGAATCTAGGGTCCATTGTGTACAACCAGGTTTATTGAAAGGGAGCTCCTGAGAATGCCCTGGACCCCTGTAGAGGCATGGCATCAGTTTGTACATGAGCCAGTCCCCTCAGAAGGGACTGACAAAGGTTTCAATAACCTTGAAAGTTTATGTTCTGGACACTTTTTAGTTGCAAATGAGTTTGGAAAAAAAGGAGAAGAAGAAAAAGAAGGAGAAGAAAAAGAAGCACAAGAAACACAAGCACAGAAGCTCGAGTAGTGATCGCTCCAGCATGGACGACGAGCCCAGCCGGGGGAGGTGAGCGAGTCAGGCAGCCTCCAGCACTGACTCACTTGCTCATTCATTCTTTCATTCCACAACAGGAACTGGAAACTGCCCCGCAATGGGGTTTCAGTGGTGAACACTTGGACGTAGGCTTTGTGCCAGTTTGTTTTCTAGCATTAGAATTCCCTGGAGATGCTATATGTGGGTGGGTCTCCGGGTGTGCTACTGGAGAGACACCCCTAAGAGAACTGGTCACAGATCTTAGGTCGACTTCCTGGCATGACTGTTTCATCTTAGCTGAGTCCTCAGGACTGCCATGGGATTCACATAGGGTTTTTTTTTTTTTTTTTTAATGGATGAATGGGCCTATGACTGCCCCTTCTGTGTCTTTCCATCTTCCCTGTGGGAATAGTCAGCTCTGCTCCTGCTGACTCACCATGGGTCTCTGGAATAGAAACATGAGGTGAGAGGAGAATGTGTTTAGGCATTGGGGCTGAGAAGCTCGGCCCACGACTTTTCACAGGAAAATCTTAACTGTGCTGATGCATCTTCCAGCAAAGATAGTCCAAATAGAGAAACACACTGCCAAGTAATAGCTGGGAAGTGGGGAAGGTCACACTGGAACCAGGACGCATGTTTCAGCATGAGAGATTTGAAGTGGACCTGTATGCATTTTCTTCTTCAATGAATGTGTGTTTTTTAATCTCTTAGATCTCAAAAGAAGATGGCAAATTCTTTTCCTGTTTTGTCTAAAGTCCCTGGATATGGCTTACAGGTAGGGATGTGGGCTTCTTAAAGGGAGTGATGGTGGGACTGTGACATGTGCCACCTTGACAATTGCAGATAGCAGGGAAATTGGACAGTGGAGGCTGGGGTTGCTGGGGAACAGGCCCACTTCTTATCCCTGAGCTTCTTACATGCCTGAGCATTCTCTAAGCAAACAGAATCACTTTAGGTATTCTGCCTATCTCTCTGCAGTCAACATGAAATATATGCATTTTAAGTGTAGAGGTTAATGGCTTTTTACCTGTGGACATCCCTTCGTGATTTTAACTTTTGATGCTGCCCTCTCTGCTGTCTCTTACTCTTCCTTAGGCTCTAGTGAAGACCTAAGCCAATTTAAGTGGTGGGGTGGGTACTTTCTCTTAGGAGATTTTTTTTTGGTGGGGGGTGGCGGTACTGGGGATTGAACCTAGGGATGCTCTGTCACTGAACTACATCCCCAGCCCTTTTTATTTTGAGACCAGGGCATGCTAAGTTGCCGAGGCTGACCTCAAACTTACAATCTTTCTGCTTCAGCCTCTTGAGTTGCCAGGATTACAGGCATGTGCCACCATACCTGGCTGTTTTAGGGGATCCTGAGATAACTGTTCAAATTTTTTATGCTTTTCTGTAATTATTGTGAATTCCTTACAAAATTGATTATTTCATTTTTAATATTTTTTGGTCCCGGGGATTAAACCAAGGGGGTGTTTAGGCATTTAACCACTAAGTGACATTTGCAGCCCTTATATTTTATTTTGAGACAGGGTCTCACTAAGTTGCTCAGAGCCTTGCTAAATTGCCTAGGTTAGCTTTGCGCTTGCGATCCTCTTGCTTCAGCCTCCTAAGTTGCTGGGATTACAGGCATGTGCCATTGTGCCCAGCTGATTTTATTCTTTTCCTTGTTTTATTGCATTGCCTTTTGAACTACTGGATTTTCCTATGAATAGCTTTTTTTCACACCCCCCCCCCTTTCCTTCTCTTTATGATACAGGTCAGGGACTCTGACCGTAACCAGGGACAACAGGGTACTCTGATGGCTGGGCAGAAGGGAGCGTATGGGATGAAGAACCGTTCCCGGTCTAGAAGCTCCTCGAACTCACCTCTTAGAAACACCAGCAGGAAGAGCAATAGGGAAGCAGGGTCCCGGGACAAGAGGTCTCGATCCCTAGGCAGAAGGTCACGGTCCCCAAGGCCTAGCAAACTGTGAGTGTGGAAATTCATTGTGGTATAAACTGTGACTGCAGGGGCCTGGTCACAGTGGTATTTTCTTTTGGTGATGTTCACCCATCAGCTTTCCTAAAGTCTTTGCTTTATTACTTCTTTCATATTATTTTTTAAACTTTAATGTAAGCTTTCAGCCCCTACAACCACATATTTATAGGAATATACTACACTGGTACAATATCCTCTCTCTCATCTTTCTTATGGACTAGTTTTAAGATGGCTAGCTCTTTTTTCATTATTTGAAGAATAATCTCTGGAAAATAATCTCTGTGTCCATTATAGGCACAACTCTAAGGCAAACAGGAGAGAGAGGGACCAGACTAAGAGCCCATCACCTAAAAAGGAGGTCTATCAGAGGCGGCATGCTTCTGGATATACCAGGTAAGTTATGAGGGCAGTAGATTAACTTCATATTCTGCAGTCCCTAACCTAGAAGTGGCCCACAGCAGGGCAAGTGGGTAATTTATATGACCTGTTTGCCACACCAACTCTTATTTATCTGGTCAACTTTTAATAGTCTTCCCCCACTCTCATACCTTGTTAGACACATTGAAAGGACAAAGTCAATAGTGTTGATCTAATAAAAACTTTAAGTGAGAATCTTTCATCATATATTGGTCTGGCAGTACTCATAGAGGTTTTCACCCAGAAGTCTATTTTTTAGTTGTCAATGGATCTTTTATTATTTATTTATTTATATGCGGCTCTGAGGATTGAACCCAGGGTCTCACGCATGCCAGGCAAGCACTGTACCATTGAGCCACAACTCCAGCCCTCACCTAGAAGCCTTTTTAAATATTTTGGCTTTTTTACTTTTCTTTTCTTCCTTTTTTTTTAATAACACGTTTATTTTATTTATTTTTTATGTGGTGCTGAAGATCGAACCTACAGCCTCGTGCGTGCTAGATGTGCACTCTATCGCTGAGCCACAACCCCAGCCCAGCTTTTTTACTTTTCATACTGGGGATTAAATCCAGGGCATTTTACCACTGAGTATCTTCCCAGTCCTTTTTTTTTTTTCTTTTTTTTTTTTTTTTTTTTTGGTACTAGGGATTGAACTCAGGGGCACTCAAACACTGAGCCACATCCCCAGCCCTATTTTGTATTTTATTTAGAGACAGGGTCTCACTGAGTTGTTTAGCACCTCACTTTTGCTGAGGCTGGCTTTGAACTTGTGAGTGGAATTACAGGCGTGCACCACCGTGCCTGGCTTTTTGAGGCAGGGTCTTGTTAAGTTGCCAAGGCTGGCCTTGAGCTTGCAAGAGGTCTTTATGTTATTTGATTGTTCCTTGTTTCTCTTTTTTACTTTGAAGTGTTGGGCATATAACCCAGAACCTTGTGCATGCTAGACAAGAGCTCTACCACCCACCTCTGATTGTCTCATTTTAAAAACCTCCTAGCCTCACTATAATGCTGTAATATATTTTAACTGAGTGAGATTTTATTTTATTTTATTGTTTTTGCAGTACTTGAATTGAACTCAGGGCCTCACTCAGGCTAGGCAAGTGCTTTACCACTGAGCTATATCCCCAGCTCGAGTGAGATTTTAATTATTTGATTTTTGGGGGTATTGGGGATTGAACTTGGGGACACTCAACCATGGAGCGACATCCCCTGCCCTATATTGTATTTTTTAAATTTAGAGACAGAGTCTCACCGAGTTGCTTAGCATCTCACTTTTGCTGAGGCTGGCTTTGAACTCTCAATCTTTCTGCCTCAGCCTCCCAAGCTACTGGGATTACAGGCATGTGCCACCACACCTGGCTTTGAGTGAGATTTTTAAAAGTTTTGTTTTGTGCTTTGTCTTTTCCTAATTTCCCTTTTCTGTTTGTTTTGGTGTCTGTCATTCATTTTTTTGAGGCTTTCCTGAACTGTCTGGTGATATTTCACTTTGCATTCATATTTAAGAGTGAGGTATAAAAAAGCTGAAACACTGTACCCACAGGGTTTGTCTATTGGTAGGTGATTGGGTAGAGTTGAACTGTTTTTTTAGCTGGGACTCTCAGCTGTCAGTAACTTTGATTCTTTTGTTAGGGACTGGTAAAATTTCTTCAGGAAAAAAAAAAATCCTCTAGTTGCCTGATGCTGGCTGCTGGCATTCTGAGAGAGGCACAGATCCCATCAGGGACTGTGAGTCTCAGTGTGGAGCATGTGGGCTTCACTTCATCCTCTTTGCAGTATGGTGGCCTTGCCAACTTTCTGTGCTGTGCCTGATGCTTCTGAATCTTCTTTTCTCCTGTATGGTTCAGTTTCTCCAGAGGGTAAACCACAGGGTCTCCTATAGATGTTTGGCAGAGTAATCTCCAGCTTCAAGTTTTGCTTGGGAATCCAGGGATATCTCAGTTGCCTCTGGCAAGCCTTTTTTGCAGGGGGTTGGGGTACCAGGGATTGAACCCGGGGGTGCTTTACCACTGAGCTATATCCCCAACCATTTTATTTATTTATTTATTTTGAGACAGGGTCTCGATAGGTTGTTTATAGCCTCGCTAAATTGCTGAGGCTGGCTTGAACTTTCAATCCTCCTGCCTCAGTCTCCCGAGCTGCTGAGATTATAAGTGTGCGCCACCATGCCCAACTGCCAAGATTGTGAGATTCTAAAAGTGTTTAAAATTTGGGTGAAAACACCTGACCAAAATGTTAAGAGGAGCCAATGCTTGCCTGTAATCTCAGTGACTTGGGACAATCCTAAATTCAAGGCCAGACTTGGCAACTTAGACCCAGTCAAAAAATAATAAAGGGCTAAAGTTGTAGCTCAGTGGTAGAGCACCTTAGAGTTCAATCCCTAGTACCTCTGCACCACACTATGTTAGTAGGCGGGAAACTCATGCTGGACATGGCACTGCTCTGGCCATTTCCTTGGAGAAAGCCATGGGCTGGAGAGCTTGGGTCCTGCCTGACCTTTATCTCCCTGTGCTGCTTCTGGGATTTTTGCTAGGAGTCAGGTAGAATTGATGGGATGTTTTTTGTGTTCAACAGAAAACTCTCAGCAGAGGAACTGGAACGAAAACGGCAGGAGATGATGGAAAATGCTAAGTGGAGGGAAGAGGAGAGGCTGAACATCCTCAAAAGGCACGCTAGGGAGGACGAACGGGAACGGAGGCTGGAGAAGCTAGACTCCCGGGATGGGAAGTTCATCCAGTGAGTACATTTCTTCCTGCCTGGGGCTCCGTAGGCATGGTCTCAAGGAGAGAGTCTAACAGTGGGTTCAATGTGTTCCAGGTGTCGCTGTGTCTGCAGGGAGAATATGGAGCTCAGCTTTAGGACCACCTTTTTTACCATTCGTAGCTTCTGGCCAGATAGTGGGAGGTTTTTGATTTTTTAAGAGGGAGACGTGAATTAGTATTTTCTCTAAATCTCTGAAATTCTTTGGCATTTCTTATTTATTTATTTATTTTAGTTGTTGAAGGACCTTTTATTTTATTAATTTATTTATATGTGGTGCTGAGAATCAAACCCAGTGCCTCACACATGCTAGGCAAGCGCTCTACTGCTGAGCCATGACCCTGACCCTGCATTTCTTTTAAATAAGAATTAATGGCTCAGAAAGTCTTTTTTTCCAATGAGACTTTGACTTATTTTCAAAAGCAGATGAATTTTCTCTTATGGACATTTAAAAAATTTGGTTCCAGATGGAATCACTTGAAAATTTTCTATGTGGGCTTAAAAGAGCTTGTTTCTACAGTTGCTTTAAGGTTAGCAACCTGTTTCTTCTAATTCTGCCAGACCTGACCAATTGACAAATGTTTTTTATTTCCTAGCCGCATGAAGCTAGAGAGTGCATCTACTTCCTCCCTGGAGGATCGGGTGAAACGGAATATCCACTCTCTACAGAGAACCTCAGTGGCTCTGGAGAAGAACTTTATGAAAAGATGAAAACCATTCTTTTTCTTATTGGTTTTCCTGAACTTTTCAGGGAGGCTGCTAACCCCTAAAAAATTCTCTTTATAAGAGTTCAGTGACTTCTTCCACAGATTTCAAACCACCACTGTTCAAAGTGACCCTCGTCCATCAATTCCTGAAATACTTTGCTTCCTTTGTGAATCAGTGTGACCTGGTTATGAGATCCTAAGTAGCTTTTGCAGTATGCAGAGTGGGTTTTGACTCTGTTTTAATGGGCAGGCACTGAGCCATGCCATTGGGAATATTCATCTTGCTCTGGAAGGTGGCCTGCTGGGTTTGTGATGCTCATGACACCTCTTTCCTCACACTTGTGTGAATAGACCTATTTCACTGCCTCAGGATAGATCATACCATTCTGAGCTCTCTCCAGAGCCACTTGGATAGATTGTGCTAACTGGGATACATGAATTTATTTGATCTAGTAAATAATATAACAGAATGATGTCAGATTAGGGAACAGCCAAGAGAGTGACAAAGGATCTGGAAGAGAATACAAAAAGGTCTAAGTGAACTGTTAACTATTTGGTTTGTAAAAGTATAATGTGTATATGTACAAATGTATATTTTTTTACATGCTTTTAAAAAAAAGTTTAGCTTTGTGAGAGTATCTTGTTTGCTAAGTGATTTTATTATGTAATATAGTACAGCCACACTGAACCTTGTGAGTGGCACAGTAAGGTAGGTCAGCTTATTTTTCTCTGAATAGGGCACATTTAGGAGAAGCCTGGGTTTATCGATAGAATCTAGGCTATCTATCTGATCTCCCTGCTCCGAGTTTCCCATGTGTGATCAGTGCAGCAGTGTAGGCAAGTTTTTAGGAGTCAGGACCACATTGCTACTATGTTCCCTGGCTCCTAAAAGAAAATAAAATGGAAGCTGTTTATTACATGGCTTCTTTTTTTATCATGTACAATGCTAGATTTTCAGGGGTTGTTTCCTACTATTTTGTAGCTATTAAAAAAAAAAAAAAGTTCCCCCAAACAAAAATAAACTCAAGTGGCCACTTCCCTGTTTTAACTGCTTTTCCCTTTATTCCTTCACCAGAAGCCCTCATTTGACAGGGATTTCCTAGGCAATTTTTTGTTAAATTTTTTTTGTTTGTTTTTATTTGTAAGTGAACACGATATCTTTATTTCATTTTTATGTGATGGATCGAACCCAGTGCCTCACAAGTGCTAGGAAAGCGTTCTCTACCACTGAGCTACAACCCGCAGTCCCTCCTAGGCACTTCTGAGTCACAAGTTAGCTGAGCTATTTCTTTGTTCTTCTAACTTCTAATTCTGGTTAAAATGTATTTGGATTTTTATTTTTGAGCACTTTTGATGCCAGACACTAATGCTTTAAAAAAGTTTTGCCCAGAGAGAATTTAACATACTTTTGTTATTCATTAATCACTTCATTCTACTGCCCTATGCTACAGTTAATTATGGTTTTTATTACTTGGTAATAAAGGTTACATTTATTTTTGTAACTGTCAAGAGTAGCCACGTGGATCACCGAGTTTTCTTACTCCTGTTATAGAAAGAATGTTGACCCATGGTTTGTGTCGAATATATAGAGATCCTTGTCTTATGTAACAGAACGTGGGCCGTTTACTTAGATTTCACTAACTAAGCCAGAAAATAAGACGATTATTAAGGTATGTGTCTGAAGGTGCCCACAGGTTCTTAACTTGACCCTTGGGGCGCAGGAGAACTGGAGGCAGGTGGGTGGGCGCGGGGGCCCATTCATAAACCCAGGGTTCTCAGCTGCCCCTCTCATTGGCCCTGGGGGAAAGGGGCGTGCCCCACGGGTGGAGTGCACCCTGGGCCTTGGGGAGTGGGAAAACCCACGCTTGGGTGGAGCGAGGGGGCGTTCCTTGGTTTTCCAGGCTGGACTTCCTTTTCCCCTTGCTGTGTTCCTCCTCGCTCCCCCGGGGTGGGGATGGTACGTCCCACCCTCCTCGCATTCCCGCTCCTCCTCCTTTCCCGAAGCAGTGTCGTTGCCGCCATCTTGGCACCTCAGATTGAGGGAACGAGCCAAGCCCGGGCTTTTGAAGGGGGGTATTAGGACAGGGAGTTCCTCCCGCGGTACACAGTGAGACCTGCCCATCCCTCCTCCTCTCCCTGCTCCAGCTCGGGCTTCTGAGGCTTGCGGAGGCCGGCCGGATTCCTGTCAGGCCCGGGGAGGAGGGGCGAGAGGGGCGGCCGCTGCCTCCCCGGGACGGGCGGTACCACCCGGGTGGGAAGGAGAGGGCCTGGTGACGACGGGGCGGTGCACCGCCTGGGGGCGGGGTGCGGGAGCGGCCGGCTCCCTGGGGCGGGGCGGGGCGGGGCGGACGGGGAGGGCGGGGCGTGGGGCGGACGGAACCAACGGGGTGGGGTGGGGAGGTAACGGGACGGGCGCGACCATGGCGCGGTGAGGCAGCGGGGGTGGGGATCGGTCTGGGGGAGGCCTGGGGCCGCTGGCTTGTGCGCTGTCTTCGCCGCCCCCCCTTTCGCCGCCGCCGCCGCCTCGGGCATGTCGTCCAACTGCACTAGCACCACGGCGGTGGCGGTGGCGCCGCTCAGCGCCAGCAAGACCAAGACCAAGAAGAAGCATTTCGTGTGCCAGAAAGTGAAGCTATTCCGGGCCAGCGAGCCGATCCTCAGCGTCCTGATGTGGGGGGTGAACCACACGGTAACCAGCTCCCCCGCTTGTCCCCTTGCCCCTGGCCCTCGCCCCGCAGGCCCTGAGGGTGACGCCTGCAGCCCCTGGCCAAGCCACTTGCACGCACCCCCGCCCACCCTTGCTTACCGTCCGGCCGCGGTGCACTCCCCGAACGCCACGCGAGGCCTGGTGTCTCCGTGGTGTGCGGTCGCGGTCTTCCCTCCAGCCCCTCTGGCTTCCTGCGTCCGTGTGCTGGTTTCGGGCTACCCCTGGAGCTCACAGGGAAGGCCTGGCTGCAGCGGAATCCCTTTGGTCCCCTCTGACTCGCTTCTCATCTCACCCTGTTGGTTACATGTGTATTCCTCCTTGCCCCTTGTAGCTGGCTGCCGGATCATTGTCCCGTTGACAGGGCAAGTGGCACTGGCCTGCGTGAATATTCCTCTGTGTATAGTCGTTTGGTTGGGGTGGCTGCTCAAAGTTTCCCATCCTCCAGGCCTCCTTACCCCTGCTATGGAAATCTCCCTGGATTTGGTTTTTTTCTTGAACGAGATGTATCGACTGGAGAAGCACAGGTTCCTTTGAAGTACAAACACGGTACTAGGGTCCTTCTGGAAGAGGGAGGAGAGTAAATGTAACAGTCTTGAGATTAGTAGAGGCCTGATTATAAGGACTATTCATAATTTAAATAATGTGTCTTCCCTATTCTGTGGTGTTCATTTCAAAGACTGACTTTTCTACTTTATGGTTCTCAAGGATGTGCTAATGGTGACTGTTGTTCATCAGCTCTGGATCTTGGGGTGCTTTGAGATTGTCCATCAGCTCTGCCAGGAAGTTGGATCTGGATACAGAATTTGAGCTGGGTGACTTTTTTAGAACTGTTTGTTTAGGGTCTGTCTGCTCTTCTGGACACTTGCTCTTTGCCTTCTGACCATTTCTTTGGGAGTAAAAAGACCTGAAGCACCACCTTTGCCAGCTATAAGTTTGGAATGAGGAAAATGAAGCTTTGGGTTTTCTGTGGACTTCAACTCTTTAGATTCCCTGGTTTTTCTGAACTCTTGAAATTAGACTAAATGATGACCAGGGATCCAAGACTTTGCTTTGCTTTGGTAGAGGAGCTAGATATGGCTTTGGCTGGAGGTTGATGAACCATGATGAGCCATGGTTTTATGTGATACATCTGATATAGAAAAGCACATGTTATATGTGAGGTCTTAGTTGGTCATGAGTAGATTGCCTTTCATTGTCATTACTGGGATTAGTGAGGGTCCTGGCAGGGTAGTGAGTACACTGGTTTAATGTTCAGACCTCTAGGAGCTGCTTTGGGCCAACAATCCAGCAGAATTTGCTCCTCCTGCTTCCTGCCGCCACCAGGGTCATCTGGCAACATTTTGTGGGAAACTGGGTCATCAAAATGTGAACCCTGTGTCCCTTTCTGGAAGTCATTCCTTGATTTTATTCTCTATCCTGCATCTCACTAGAAAGCGTTATGTCTCTGTAGAGAACTGGGAGAAGCCTAAGTCTGGAATAGCTGGAAGGAACTTGGGTCCTGTGTGAAAGAGTAGCTTGCCTGTGATTACAGCAAGAGATGGAGTTCATTGTCCAGCACCACAGGGCTCTGTTTTCTTTGCCTCCTGTTCCTTTTCCTCACATCCCAGGATAGATGGGAGCTATAGTCTTGCTAGAAAATCTGAATATGTGCTCTGGGGTGTGTGCTTGTGCATGCCGTTTCCTGAGAGTGGTGCTTTGTTTGCTACTAGATAGGCAGTAAGTCTGCCCAGGCAATGAGATGAAAGCCTTTGAATGGCAGATGGACACGGTATTCACCTTCTTCTTTGCCAACTTTAAAACAGTTTGATGCTGGATGTAGTGGCACATGCTTGTGATCCCAGCAATTCAGAAGGCTGAGACAGGAGGATAGCAAGTTGGAGGCCAGCCTGGGCAACTAAGCGAGACCCTGTCTCAAAAATTAAAAAATAAAGGGTTGGAAGTGTAACTCAATGATAAAAGTGCAGTTAAAGTTTGAGGAGCTAGCTGGAAAGGCATTGACTTTTAAGCAAGAGCCATGCATCTAAATATGAATGAGTACCTGGGTGGGATGGATATAGAGCACCACTGCCCTGGGCAGGTAAGCTTTAGAGGTGAGTTAGTCTCTTGTTTTATTGCTTCATTCTGATCTACAAGAAGGTGTAGTAATTTAGTGTCCCCATCTGGGAAGTGGAGACACACATGCCCAGAAGAATATAAAATCTTGCAATTCTCTTGGGGATCAGGGCCACTGGTTTTGGTGGATCAAGCCTTTCTTGGAGGTTCCCTTCCTTCAGAAGCCTGATGTCACAACTTTTTTCCATCTGAGTTTTCAGATATCCTCTCTTCTTTGATTCCTTACCATTTAAGCATCTAGGTATACTTGTCTACAGTAAATCAAATATGAAGGATGGATGTCATTTCTTTTGCTTTTTTTTTTTGTGGTGCTGGGGATTTAACTCAGAGATACTTCTACTGAACCACAGCCCCAGCCCTTTTTATTTTGAGACAGGGTCTTGTCAAGTTCCTTAAGTCTTCACTATATTTCTGAGTCTGTCTGTAAATTTGCGATCCTCCTACCTCAGCCTCCTGAGTTGCTAGGATTATAGGTGTGTGGCACTGTACCTGACTGATTATGTCTTTATTTAAAGCAAAAGCCAGTTATCCTCTCATGAGACAGTTGGTTTAATTCTAGGTGGAAAAAGAAGGTCTTTGAACTCAGTGTTTTGTTTTTTTTTATTGTTTTTAATATTTATTTTTTAGTTTTTGGTGGACACAGCATCTTTATTTTATGTGGTGCTGAGGATCGAACCCAGCGCCCCGCGCATACCAGGCAAGCGCGTTACCACTTGAGCCACATCCCCAGCCCTGAACTCAGTGTTTTTAAAGGAGCTCTTCTCATGGATAAGAGATGCAGCCCCTGGACTTTGTGTAGGAAGAGTGTAGTGAAAACAAGGTGAAAATTCAGAAGACTTTGGACCTGTCGGGGGAGAACTAGTAAAAAGAGAACCCAGTTTTAGTGGATGAAATAACGGTTCAGAGGGTCTGGAATTAGGGAAGAAATATCTGGGAAGAAGTATGGAGACCAGGAAGGCTGATGTGATCTGATGCTTTTGGGCTTTTTAGGAACCAGGTATGGGTGTAACTTTACCAATATGATCAGAGGAGTAGGAGCCGTTGATGGTACCCATTTGAGAAACTGCAAGATTTTTCTCCAGAGCAGCTACACCAGTATATATTTCTACCAATAGTATATGAGGGTTCTAATTCCTCCACATCCTTATCAACACTTGTTATTGTCTTTTTTTAGTATAGGCATTTTGGTGAGTGTGAAACTATCTCATTGTGATTTTAATTTGCATTTCCCTGATAACAATGATGTTAAGCATCTTGTATGCTTCTTTGGAGAATGTCTATTAAATCCTTTGCCCATTAAAAAGATTTTTTTTGTATAAATTCTTAAATTGGGTTGTCACATTTTATTGAGTTGTGAGAGTATGTATTCTAGATATAAATCCTTTATCAGATGAATGATTTACAAATTTTTCTCCCATTCACTCTGGGTTTTTTAATTTTCTTCATGGTATCCTTTGAAGCTTATGTTTTAACTTTGATAAAGTCTAGTTTATATATTTTTCTTTTGTTGCCTATACTTTTAGTATCATGTCTTCGGCTTTGTCTAACCCAAAGTTGTAAAGACTACTCCTGTATTTCCTTCTAAAAGTTTTATAGTTTTAGCTCTGTTTTAAAAAAAAAATTTACCGTGATCAAAACATTTAACATGAAACCTACTCTCTTAACAGTTTTTTTAAAATATTTTTTTAATTGTAGGTGGACACAATACCTTTTATTTTATTTATTTATGTGGTGCTGAGGATTGAACCCAGGGCCTCACACATGCAAGACGAGTGCTCTACCGCTGAGCCCCATGCCCATCCCCACTCTTAACAGTTTTTAAGGGTATAATATATTATTTTTTATCATAGGTACAATGTTGTACAACAGATCTCTAGAGTTTATTCATCTTGCTTGATTGAAACTTTTTTTTTTTTTGTGGTGCTGAGGATTGACTCTAGGGACATGTGCATGTGAGGCAAGTACTCTCCCAGCTGAGCTATATCCCCTATTAATTACCCAATTCTCCTTCCTCCCAACCCCTGGCAATCACCATTCCACTCTTTGTTTTTATAAATTTGATGATTTTAAATAACTTATTAAGGGAAATTATACAGTGTTTGTCTTTCTGAGACTGTTTTCATTTAATATAACGTCCTCAAAATTATCCATGTTGTTGCATATTGCAGAATTCCCTTTTTCAAGGCTAAATAGTATTCCATTTTATGTATTTCCCACATTTTCTTATTCATCTACCCATGAATTTAGGTCATTCCTCATCCTGCTTCTTTTTTTTAAAGACAGAGAGAGAGAGAATTTTATTATTTATTTTTTAGTTTTCGGCAGACACAACATCTTTGTTTGTATGTGGTGCTGAGGATCGAACCCGGGTCGCACGCATGCCAGGCAAGCGCGCTACTGCTTGAGCCACATCCCCAGCCCTCATCCTGGTTCTTATGAATAGTGCTGTTTCTTTGTGTGTGTGAGTGTGTGTGTGTGTGTGTGTGTGTGTACACATACACTAGGGGTTTTTGGTGGTTGTTTTTGTCTTTTTTTGGTGGGTTTTTTTGTTTGGTTTAGTTTGGCTTTTAGTTCTGGGAATTTACCATTGAACTACATCCCCAGCCCCCCTTTTTATTTTTATTTTTTTGGGGGATACTGGGGATTGAACTCAGGGGCACTCGACCACTGAGTCACATCCCCAGTCCTATTTTGTATTTTATTTAGAGACAGGGTCTCACTGAGTTGCTTAGTGCCTCGCAGTTGCTGAGGCTGGCTTTGAACTCATGATCCTCCTGCCTCAGCCTCCTGAGCAGCAGGGATTACAGAAATATGCCATGAGCCGGGCCTTTATTTTTTATTTTAAGACAGGGTCTCACTAAGTTGCATAG